CAACGCCAAGTCGGTCTGCCACAAGGACAAGGACAAGGACGGCGCCAGCGCTGTCGGGGCTCAAATGCCTGCAGATGATGACGACTTGTTTTGGACTCGGCGTCGCGATGCTCAAAAGGTCACCAACGGCTATACGGCCAGGGAGAGCTCAGTTCGGAATGGCGACGAGGATGAGCGCGACGGGGTGACTCCCGCAAAGAGGACGAGGAGGACGCGGAACTCCCTGGCGGCTCCCATCAGCACGCGGTCAACGCGATCAGCAAGCAAGCGGCCAAGCAGTCACAGCAACAACAACACTGATGATGTTGACGTTGCCGTCTCATCACCGGTGGCCTTTTCATTCAATGAAGGCAGTTCAACTGTTGGATCTCGTGCCGTGACGCCAACTGCCCTGCGTCCGACAAAGAAGCCGAGGACAGGTCTCCGTATCAAGTTATCGTAAGTCTTCACCTCCTTCACTTCTCTCTCTCTTTCACTTCCCTCTTCCCTCAGTTTCAACTCTTTCCCACTCTTTCACATTTTTTTTGCAAGTGAATCTACCTTCCTATGCGCCTAATGCCACATCACTCTTTGATGGGGAAACACGAAGAAAATTTTGCTTCACACACATACACATCCCAACAAACAGCGCGAATGAGTTGAGCATGAGATTTGGGCTTCCTCGTCTGATGTGAAACGCAACGTGCGTTTGGACTCATCAAACCATCTTCTCGGTCTTTTCATTCATGAAACACTTTCCCACCCTATCTCATCTCCTACTTCACATTTCACCACCAAACTGAATCCTTTGCCTCACTCGCCACCATCTCATCTCTTGAAGACGCGCTTCGATCAAATCAACTACTGCAAGTTTCCCCTGCTAATGAAACTTCCTTATAGGCCGATGAAAAAGAAAGGCGGTACTGCTGCTGGTGTTCCTCGCTCAATGGGAGAGGCACAATCCGTAACGGTAAGCAATGGTGCACCAAGAGACCAGGTATGTGACTTTGGCATTTCATCTTATCTCCTTGTGCGAATGAGAATATGCCTCTTTGCGAGCCAATGCTGCATTCGCAATATTCGACTCTGGTCATGAGAATTCACAGCCGGGAGCTCGAGGCAAGCGCCCTACGTTTCTCACGCACACAAATTTTTTCTCGCACTGTCATACACTGCCCTGAATTGGGGCCAAAGGCCACTGGATGGAGTTATTGATCTGGGGGCCTACAACATGGGGCAAGGATCTCCAACCACGCACATTTTAGTGGAGGCCGTCTTGGTCCGCCCATGCCGCCTCGTTTTGGAGGATGATGCAACGTGTAATATGACGATGGGGGGAAATAGCCATGCTAACTAGGGTGGGCATCCTAGGGATCCGATAACGATGAGTACTGCTCTGCATGTGGTAATACAGGGGATGTCGTCTGCTGCGATGGCTGCCCACGCTCATTCCACTTTGAGTGCGTGGATATGGTGCAGTCTGACCATCTCCCTGATGAATGGTACTGTAACGAATGCCTTGTCCGGCGGTATCCATCACGTGTGCCCGTCTATAAGGGTGCATTTGCGAGTGCTCTCAACGCTCTGGAGAAGAGCATTCCTCGTGCCTTTAGCCTGCCTAAAAAGCTTCAAAATCGATTTGAGGGTGTCAAGGCCGGGGCCGATGGAGACTATGAGGAGGTGACGAGCAAACAAAAGTAAGTGATGCATTTACCCGGCCGTCTCCTTGGCATTCATTTCATTTCCGGACTGGGCGGCGAGCCTTAAAAGTCTTTGGAATAGCTTTGTATACATTGATAACTGACTGCTATTGTTTTCACCACAGGAAGCGTGCTGGTTATGATGAGCTGCCGGATTTCTTCAAGCAGCGTGAAGACGGAGAAGCTGTGCTCTGCCACGCTTGTCAAAAACCAGCCACTGAGATTCGAGCCATCATCCCTTGCAGCGCCTGTCCATTCCATTGGCACATTGACTGCCTCGACCCCCCACTGGCCATGCCCCCCGTCCTGAAGACTTGGCGATGTCCAGCCCACGTCGATGATGTGTTGGGAGATGTGCCACCTCTGGCGCCAGCGCATCGCTTCCGCAGAGTTAAAGGCGGTCAAATCATTACGCCGGCTTTCAGCCGCGGCATCAGGAACAACGGCCACATCGAACTTGATTGGGCCGACGACCCCGAGGAATCTGATAAGTCGGGCTGGCGTGACCCCGACTCGTTTGGCAAAACATACAGGCTACAGGCCAAGGGAGTTGTTCTTGACTTCATCGAGCAGTAAGTACCACGTGGTTCCCCATTCAGGGTCTTGTCTTGTTTCTGACCACCTTCAAGGCTACGGCATCGTGGTGCTGGATATGGCCCGCGTCATGACGAATTGCGGTGGATGTCGTATGCACCTCGGGCCCCATCCATGAGCGGTGCAGGCGGTCTGCTTCTCGGTTCTGCTTACGACCGCAAGGTGAACGAGATGCAAGCGTCTCTGAACCTATTGGGCCTCAAGCAGAGTCGGTCTGAGAATATCGATCAGCTTACGGCTGCTCTTCTGGTATGTACTCGCACATTGTTATTGTACTACCCTTTTTCCTTTTTTTGCTTGTCCATTTATTAACTTTGTTCAGTCTGCTGCCGATGATAGCGTCTTAGCCCTCATAGCAAAGGGCAATGCGGACAACATCGCCTCTGGCCACCTAGTTCAAGATGACAGAATGAGTCTTCGTGCCATGCTGGCACAAATGAACGCCATGGGTGATAGGATTCGCCATCTCCTGGGCGATGAAGCCCCGCCAACAGCAGTGGATCACAAGGCTACCGATGCGGGCTCGCCTATCACCGATGCTTCTGGCGTGGATACATTCCCAGAGAAGACAGAACCAAATGCCCCTGTTACCGAACCTACGCCACCGTCGACCGTGGATCACGGTGAGGGCACTATGGAACTCGACTGATTACGAAGGAATTGCTACCATAATGCACCCTTCTTACGGACAAGTCTTTTGCCTTGAGAGCGGGTGACGAATTGCCGGCCTCGATAGACTGTAACGAATCCCTGATTACGACAATATCGCCCTTTTATCTTTAAGCCATAGAAGACTTGATTTTTTTCCTACACCGCTCGCAGACAAACCTTCATGCGATTGGTCTATGTTCACTGATTTTTCAACTGTTTTGCGTTGCTCTATCACATTTGGGGGTTTCCCTCTCCCTTTCTGCGAAGAAAAAAACATGAAACTAGGAGTTGGGGAGGCATAATTGATCGCTTGCAAAACATCACGACTCGTCCTTTTTGCCCGCAGCAACGTGTGGCTTGATTTTTGGCTCGATTTTGATATTTATTTCCTTTGCCTCTTTTCATTTTGCTTTTATTGTGTTTCTTTTTCTATACGCGAGATTTTTGGCATCTTATGCGCGAGTTGGAAGAAGAAGATACGGAGGAGGAACGGAACGAAAGACTGCAATTTATTTTACCCACCTATGGCAGACTAAGAAAGGGGAGAGTGGGTTTACACTCTTTTCATCTAGTCTGCTAGTTTTCACTGCTGAGAACAAATAATGGGCATGTTGCGTTGTGCCCTGAGGAAGAGATTAGTTGAGATGACGGAGAGGAGAAAAGCATGGGCGGTTTTACCGGAGGAGACGAAGGGGGAGAGAGAGAGGTGCAGACTTTTAAGTAATAATGCTGATGCAGCTGTATCATAGCCTAAGGTGCCGCGTGCCATGTTGCGATGGCAAGGAATAAGGATAAGGATAGTCTGACTGATGAAAAAACGATACCATGATATGCAAAGGTTCGACACCGCTGCGTTCGTGAAGGCTTATATAAATCAACTTTTATATGCATTCTTGTACAACTAGTGAAAGGAGTATTTGCTTTGGATTTTCATGATTGAAAACTTTTTTTATTGATCATAATATACAACTCTTCGTTTCAGCCGTCAAACCTCGTCATCGCCCCCTCCCATCAGCCAGCTTGAAAGCAAGCCAACGTAAAGAAAGAAAGAAATAGAACGAAAAGAAAAGAAAAAGCTTACTCGTCTCACCCCTTCCTTCAATCCTATCCATTCAAGCTATTTCACGCAAAAAACGAGCAACAGATTGATTTCCTCCGCAGACATACACTCACATCCCCTTTCTCATCTATCGCTTGCCTTCTGCCAGCCTTCATTGAAACAAAAATGTGAAAAAGATCCATTCCAAGCTTAAGAAGTCATAGAGCACAAAAGTATGAACGTATGAACAGCATTTTTCGTCCTTTTTTCTTTCTTTCTTTCCTGGATGATGGAAGGGGAAGTCGTCCGTGAAACCTCGTCAAGAGCTAAAAAGGCATAAGTCGTCCGATTTGCTACACTGAAAGAAATAGAAGAAAAAAGACAGAAGAAGAGGAGTAAAAAAAGCAAAAGAAAAAGAGAAAGAAGAAGGAAAAGGCTATGGGTCACATTAGACATCAGCAGAATTCGATTGATCTGACAGCGCTCCCCGCAAATTTTGCATCCGAATATTTTTCTTTTCCAGCATAAATAATCGATTCATATCCGTGACCGTCCGTCCATACATGATTTTGTATAAGAAAAAGCAAAATGAACAAAAATGACTTGGAGGGGAAATGCCTCTGTCTGTCTCTTTAAGTCGCGGCTTGAATGTGGGAGAACCAGCCCCAGAATACACGCTGCTAATTAGGTCTAAACAGAGGAGTTGTTTCGTGATGATGGTGTAAATGAGAAATCCTCGACGCAAAAGAACCAATGTAGTAGGTCTCTTGTGTCTCGGAAGGCAAATATCTTTTAGCCAGTATTTGTCTAGACCAGCCCGCTGGAGGCGAACGCTGTCGCGTGGGGTCTCTATCAAATTTCAATCTTCACCAAACTCCGCGCGGCGCAAGAAAAGAAAAAGAATTCTTGCCTAAACTGACCAGCTAGCTGTAAAACAAAGGCATATAAGACCGTAGGCTTGTTTTTGTCGTTGGCCGTACACCGCCGCGATGTATTGTCAATCCAAAGAAACATTACTTTCTCTGGAAATCCATATGTTAGTAATTGTTGCGGCCCTGCCGGTTCGAAGATGAGGGACGTACGCGACCGCGTCTACCATTCACCTGTTCTTGTTGCTGCATATATCCCATGTTGGGCATGCCTCCCATGTTTCCACCATAGCCGTATCCGCCGACCATACCAAAGCCAGGAGGCGGGCCATAGGGTGGCTGACCACCAACAGGAGGTTGCATTGGGCTTCCATTGGGCATATTCTGCTGACGATACTGATCAACCGGTTGACCAGGGTTGCCGTAGCCACCAAATCCAGGCTGCATCGGAGGGAATGGATAATTCATCTGGGGGTTGCCTCGATTCATCATGCCCTGCTGATATTGTAGCTGTGGGACACCCATAGCAGGAGGCATCGGTCCGTTGGGCCCATTGTACATCATGCCCTGGTTGAAGGCTGGATATGGGGGAGCTCCGGAATCGGCATTGTCGCCTCTTTGCTGGTTGTGGCCGGCCTCATAGTTTGAAGAACCACCCGAGGTGCCGTTGTAGAATGCCTTGTTAGGCTGGCCACCTTGCTGGCCGTGCTGCTGCCCATTGGTTTGTCTTGAGGAGGTAGGTCTCTGGCGTTGCTCTGCATGGGTGCTGGCATCTCGATTTGGCCCAGCCGTTCGAGTTGAGAGGCCGACCTCGTCCATGAGACGCTTGTACCCCTGGTTTGCCTGTGCCTTGATTCTAACCAAAACATTCTTGACATTTTCTGTGACTTCGAGGCGCATAGTCTCCTCAAAGAAGGGCGTCGTGAGGACCTTGAAAATAAATGTGGCGCCACAAGCCTGGTCGCTAAGGATAGCCTCAAGCACCTGGTCATTGGGGGAGATGAAGAGGCGCTTTAGGATATTGTCCCGGGCCTCAGTCTCATTCTTCTGGTTGATGACCTTGAGGACCGTGAGATAGGCGACCTTGTGGGTGCACAAGGGTACCAGGTACGGGATCAACCGAGGAGAGAGAACGTGACGACGGTTGGAGAAGGTGCATGTATCCAGGAACCAGGTCAGCAGAAGTGCGCCGTTAGCATTAGTTGCAAGCTGGACACTGTGCAGCGCAATGGCAGCGGCCAACATTCTCTGCTGATCCTTTGTTGCATGGTGGCTCTCCAGGCAGGCCCTCATGGCTCGAGCGCCATAGCGGCCTTGCGAGACCTCCCACATTCGGCTGAGCATAGCCTCGAAGATGAAATCGGTGTAAGGGGCGCCGAACTTGAGGCATCCCTGCAGGACGTAGTTGCCATATTGGTCCAGGAAGAGAGGCACAGCGTAGGGTCGAAGGTTTTCGACAATGATGGAGAGCTGGCTAGGGGTCTTGCATACGTCAATGATCTTCTGAGCCGCCCACGTGCCGTTCTTGTGAATGCCAATCTCGGCCAGATGAGGTGCAATCTCGGCGAGCATTGCATCCCTCAGCTGGTCGGAACAGTGGTCAAACAGCTTCTGAACAACCGTGTTGCCGAGATAATCGGATGAGAGCTCAGCAATCTCGGGGAGCATGTCAACGGCGATGCTTTCAATCTCTGCTTGCGAAAGCATTTGATTATCAATTCGCTTGCGAATGTCTCTCAGCTTGGGGGCATCATGAACTCTTGTATGGGTTGGCTCCCGGACGGGAGGAATCTCTTCTACGTAGGAGTTGTACTGGACTGCAGATTGCAGAGTCTTGGAGATTCGAGCCTTGTCTTCATCAGTGGCGCCGAATTCTCCCACGATATCGAGGATATCCGTCACCATGTCACGCAAAGGAGGCAAGGTGGGCGTAGCGCTAGTAAGCGCTCCAGCGGCAGCCGATGCGCTCTCCCCAGGCCCGGCGGCCAAGGCTCCCTTGCCAATGTCTTGAGTCTTTCCAAAAGGATCAGGGCTAGGTGAAGGAAAGGCTCCATCATGTCCCGGAGTGTTGGAAGCAGAGGGGGGCTTTGCAAAGTTGATTCGGATTGGGCCTGCGCCAGGGAAGATCTCCTTGCCATTCATGCTGGCCTTGGCAGAGACTGCGCTCTCCACTCTCTCAAAGTTGACAAATCCACAGTTCTTATGTGTGAGCACACGAGCGGAGAGAATCGGCCCGTGAGACTTGAACATTTCGACAAGAGTAGAGGTGGTGGTGGATGTGGGAATACCACCAAGCCAAAGAGCGCTGGTCGGTCCATCGAGACCCTGCTCTTCGGGATTCAGATGGCCAGCATTGCGGCTGTTAGACCGTCCCAGGTTCATGCCAGCGACTGCCTGCGAGATGTCATCGTACTCCTTCTCATCCTGCAAGCGAATCTCAGCCGTGGTGATGGAGTTGGTGCCTGGGCCAGCGTTGTTGTTGCCGTAGGATCCCACCAAGCGGCTTCCCGGAGTATCCAAGACACCAGCGGTACGGGCACGCGGCCGTGTGGCCTGCGTCGCGAAGGCCCGGACAGCCATGTTGTGGTTGTGGATGGCCGCTTGAGTGGCAGCGAGTTGATCCTGCAGCGCGGCATACTGGCTGTCCATTGGCATGTCGGCGTCATAGTCGTCCTCGTCCTCGTCAGCATACTTGTCCTTGTTGTTGACAGAGTAGGAGCGGAAGCGACTGGCGTGCCGGGTCATGTCGAAGTTGGAAATGTAAGATGGCGTGGCAAGTTGAGCTCTCGCGGGTTGTGGGGTTTCAGCAAGACCAAGGTAGTCCAGAGTCCGCATGTGCACGTCGGACTCTCCGCCGCCTTCTCTGGAGAATTGAGACTGGGCTGGCGAGCTCGGGCCGTTGGAGCCAACACTGGCGATGCTAGCTAGAGTAGAGCCTCGTTCGCGGCCAAGACCGGAGGGGTTCCAGCTGCTGAAGATTGAGGGGCCAAAAGGCGAGGCCGAAGTAGGCAGGTTGGCGAATGGGCTACGCTGTGGCATAGACCCAGCACGAAGCCTGGAGAGAAGAGTCGAGGTACCGGGGTTGTTGCTCTCAGGCGGTTCAAGATTGGGGGATGGCGACTTGTTGAACGGGCTCTGAGAAGGCGTAACGCGAGCAGACTTGGCTGGCAGCCCAGGCACGGCTAGCAGATTGTTGCCAATGCCACCGGGGAATCGCGAGGGTACGGTACCAGCTCGAGCCCGTCTGGTGGGAGGCAAGGTCTCGGGCGTAGGTAGCTGGACAAAGTCTGGAAAGCCGTCGGTGGGAGACTCGGGGATGTTTTCTCGGAGAGGAGTCGAGTTCCCACTTGTCGGTGGCCCGCCCCAAGGGTTGAGAGGGAGGCCAGGAACACCTTCTTGAGCTTGAATCTCGCGGGCCCTAGGAAAAAAAATTAAGAATCAGCCATTTGTTGCAATTAGACGCCACACGCTTCAACCACATAGAGTTCTTCCTGATGCTTATCGGATTGGGGAGGCGGAGCTCTTGGAGTGCCACGAACCTTTTGGAATAGAGCCGGCTGGAAGCCGCCATCTCGTGCGACGGAGAACCAGCCCCGGATCGCGTGTTGCTAGCTATAATGCTACTTGAGTTCATGCCGCCAGTAAGGCCAAAGACTGATCTCGTCGGAGCCGACAGGGGATCGATTGGCGAGTTTGTGGCGGAGGGAGAGTTGGAACGGTTTTGGCTGGCAGAGTGCGAGGAATAGCCGAGTGCCAAATGGTCGGATCTGGAAGCTGACATTATCGATTATCCAGGTGGCCGCATGGGAATACGGCGCCGCAAAATTATGTCTTTTGTTTCTTTCTTTGTAGAATGCACTATGAATATTACTTTGCGAGTGGGAAACGCCGCTCGTCAGGTGGAAATGCGATGAATGGAGAGTAGACGCTCGTCGAAGCTGGTCTTGAAAGTCAATCGGTCAAGGAAAAAAAGGCCAAGGTGACGTGGTGGCTTCTTGTTGAGCGGTGCCGGGGGAGGCAACGATGCAGTGTGAGAGGGGATGGAGAAAAAAAAAAAAAGTGAGTGCAGCCAGGAAACGGCAAAAGAAGAAGAAAAGATCCAGTAGCCTGTATTACAATATGATGCTGCGAGAAAAACTGGACTAACACCTCCTCAGCGTCGAGAAACGGGGTGGAGGCACAAGAGAGTTGCGAGGATTTGCTCCGCTGGCTCGTGTGCGGAAAGTCGGCGACCCAGGATGGAGCTTTTAGCGAAGAATTGCCGCCCAAGGCCGGTGCAAGCAGAGCAGAGTCGTGGGCGCGGAGGAAGGAAAAGGAAGATGAGGCAGAAACAAAGTCGTGATCAATATACAGGCCTCAATGAGGGTGGAGGAGGGAGAGGTTGGAACCTGCAGAGGGAGAAGTTGCGAAAAAGTCGACGTCGATGCTCTTTGGGGACGATTGGTGGTTGCGCTGTGTTGGGTGTGGGATGACGGTACATGTACTTGGAGCCCCATCGTGCTGCAGGTATTGGAGTGCTGCGTTGGCGCTGGGGAGATACCTGCGGCGTTGTACCTTGCACCATGCCGCTGCGTGTGAATATTGGTGCGTGACACGGTGCTATCTATCTCTAATCCTGCTCGATACGATATACTTCAATTCTACGATGAAATGAGGAACGATGTTTTATGGTACTCCAGCTACTAATCTTATGGATGGCAATTGGCACCCGGAATTGCAACAAATTGCACCGCCTGAGAAGAGAGAAAGAATAGCGGTAACTGAGGTGAGAGGTGACGGGGGCTCGAGTGCGTGTCAGCTGTTATTTGCTCTGGCAATTGTATGGAGTTGCTTACAATAGAATAGTATCATTGGAACCTCCCACCTATACTAGAGGCAAATACTGCACTATCTCGTGTGTGCGTGCCGTGCCCCTGAGATGTTACCCCATCAAGTCTAGCGACCAGCGGAAGCGCTGCGAAGGGAAAGGCTGCTTGTTTTGTGACAGAAGAGATCAGCCCTCCGGTCTTGAAACGCGGGAGCCAACACCAAAAAGCCAAAGGGTATTAATAGGTCCAGGTACAGCTCTTGCTCGCCATAGGTGCTACTAATAGCTGTCATATGCACTATGCATGTAGGGAGCAGGTGGTGAGATTTGCAACAGGCCAATGGCTTTTTCTTGTCCCCTTTTTCCTCTCCTCTTCTTTTTTCTCCCACCGTCTTGTCTTTTTTTCTTTCCCCTCCGTCTCCATTGTCCCGACACACACTAGGTCGGTCCCTAGCAAAGCACCACACGGTGAGGATGAGGGGGAGACACGGCCTCGCTTCTCTCCGCACCGATTAGCATTGACAGGCCTTCCCCGGCCCTCGATTTTGCCGCGTTTCGCCGTCGTAAATCACCTTCTTTTACTAACTAAAATACCACTGTTTCTTATTCTGTCTAGCAAAAAAAGTGATGGCTGATTTCCATTCTCACCTGGCAGCAACAGCAACAGCAACAACATCGGTATCACTGCAGTTGCGAGTAATGAAAATCGCCTCCAGTCCCGTATATGCGATCCGCCCATCCCGCCCATCCCGCCACAAGCTTTAGGGCATATTCTATCATTCCATGAACTCCATATCTAGGTACTCTTACGTTTGCCGTCCCGCCGGGACCACACATCGTGCAATGGGATGTCCCGTGGTTGATAATACCTCAAAAACCTTGCTTAGTTAGTACCTGTATAAGCCACTGCCACCGTACAGTAGCAGCACATGTAACCCGGATCGAAACCCGCAACTCAATAAAACATGGGGCCAGTCGTGCATCATCTTCATGCTGCAGTGACACAGGCGTATCCCGCTTGTCATCTGCAAGGGACATGCCACATGAAAGCACAGACTACAACTATAACAGCTGCATACCATGTCAACTAACGTATAAACACATGATGTATTTAAACATCGTGCGTCAGTGAGTAACATGCTACGGGGCGTAAACCCCATCCAGTCCTAAAATGTCCACAGCAAAACTGAGTCGTTTCCATCTCCCTTTTCTTTTTCGTCTCTCCACTCCTTAGACTTTATAGTATTCCAGAGAAAGGAATCAAGAAGAAGAAGAAGCCGGAAAAAAACGGAATTCTCCAAGTTGATTCTTCGGCCATTCAAACTAGACCTACGTATATCCGGCGCGTCGATTGAGCCGTAGTGGTGTCTCAAGTTCGTTCAGGGTCCTTTTCACTCAGTCAACGCAACCGCCTGACGTATGCAATGGGCCTCCAATATCTGGCCGTCTCCCTTACCATATTCATTGAGGCCATTCTGCAGAGTACCAAAGAATTATAATACCTGGAGTAACATACTGTTCCATCAATACCAAACCCCCCACTTTTTGCCTCGTCATCTAGAAATCACTTCCCATATTGCTAGGAATATCAAGATGTGTTTAAAGTGCGGAGCCCATGTTTGAAACAATCACCATTATATTACAGACACGGGAGCCACGTATTTTACATTATATCAATTACTCTCTCAGCTCACTTTTTACCCACCTTCTCACACACCCACTAGCCAAAACAATCCCCAAAAGCCCCCCTTATTCCCTCCCCAGTATTTGACTTTATATTGCCATTGGCCATCCCTCATATCATCTACAACATTGCCGCCGATCCCGCCAATTAAACCGGCTTACGTGGTTATTCGGGGGATCTACTTCACACAACATCAATCTCTGAAACACGCCAGATTTGACACCCCTGATACGCGCTTTTAGAGGACGTATTGATCTTTCATTTGATCGGATCAGAGACGATTGATGCGATAGGGCACAACCATAAGTGACAACTCATTACAACACCCGTTTATTCATTCTATATCGTATAAATGTACATCTACAAAGCGTGGAGCCGTGGTAGCCACCCCCGTCATGTAAACTCGTTCAGGAAGTAACTATTCCTCGAGACTCGGCCTTCTATCCAAGTCCCAAGTATTCCCGTAGGCCTCGTCTCTTGATTAAATCATGCAGATATCTTTTAAATAAAAAAAGAAGAAGCGAAAAAGAAGAAGCGAAAAAGAAGAAGAAAAAAGGACCGTGCAAACTCGCAGGCAGGCACAGAGCAAGAAATGTGTAGAGTGAATCTCAACCAAAAAACGCCAAGGCACCAAAGAAAATGATTCAAGGGTCATGAGGGCCAACCATTGCCATGCCAAAATAGCACAGCGATGGGGAACGGGGGCCACCAACATCTAGACTTGACAGTACTCATTTCTCTTTTTGTTTCAAACTCGCAAATTCAACATCATGCCTCTTTATTTCGCATTGCGCTTAAAAGCTAGAAGCTCTGCCAGGCTTGCGAGACCGCTGCCATGCTGCAGGAAATCGTGAGCCAACAGCTCGTCCGCAGAGGCTCTGCTCTTGACGTCGACACACAGACAGACGGAAAGGAAGGCCTTGAGCTCCTTGCTCAGCTTCTCTGGCTTCTTGAGGCGGGGTGTTCCGTTGGTGGCGATGAGGTAAAGAGCCTTCAGGGGCTCTTCGTTCAAATAAGGCGGCTCGGACTCGATCATCTCAATGGCCATGATACCCAGAGACCAGATATCAACCTTGGGGCCGTATTCTTTCTGCTTGACAACCTCGGGTGCCATCCAGTAAGGTGTTCCCACCATGGTGGCTCTCTTGGACTTGGCTTCTGTCAACTTGGCACAGAAACCGAAATCAGCTGTGCAGTTGTTAGCATCCGTATTCGGCTTCATCTTGTTTGGAAAACTTACTAATCTTGACGTTTCCTCGGGCATCCAACAAGACATTGTCACTCTTGATATCACGATGGATAATGCTCTGAGCGTGCAAGTGCTGTAAGCCTCGGCAAGTCTAGTCATTTGTTAGCATCATTGTCTCACAGAATCTTCTGAGAGGGGGGTATACCTCGTGGCAAATGGTAGAAATCTGCTCCTCTGATATTGAGGGGTTGTTGTCAATGACATCAGTCAAGGCACCTCCCTCCATGAATTCCATGACAACCCAAAGTTCCGCGTTGTTGTTTCGGAGGAAAGCATCGAGGAAGTTGACAATGTTCTTGTGGCGGTTGTCCTTCATTACCATGATCTCGTTCACAATCAGCTCTTTTCTGGGCTGATGGGCAAGATCCATCTGCTTAATGGCCACCTGCGCTCTGGGTCCTTGCTGGCGAAGGAATTCGCGAGCCACACCCACGGCGGTGTCTTTGATCTTGGCAACATATACCGAGCCAGAGGCACCCTGACCGATCTTCTTCTGCTTAGAGTAGGAGAGGTTGGGGTCTTCTTTGGAGACAGCCTCCTTCAGCTTGGCCATGACCTCATTCTCTGACATAGTTGACATGCGAACATCCTGCTTGCGTTCAGCAGGAGTCTGCTTAGGCGCTGGCTCAGGTGCCTTGGGCTCGCTCTGCGGCTGGCTCTGGTTGACCTTGGAGACGTTAAGAGGCTTGACAGGGGCGGGCAGACGAGCAGCTTGAGGCTGAGCTTGAGGCTGTCTTTGCTGGGGTGCCTGGGCAGCACCGTTGGGAGCTCGCGAGCTGGGGCTCTCGTTACGCGCTGCCGGGGCTCTGGGCACAGAGCTTGAGCTAGACTGAGGGACGACGGGAGGTCGTCCGGCGGCAGCAGTCGGTGGTGCAGGTGCCGGTCGCTGAGCTTTCAGACCATTAATCGGCTGAGCGGCCTTGGGTGCAGGGGGAGCTGCCCTAGATGGGTTGAATCGGTCGGCAGCGGATGGGCCTGAGCCTCCATAGCCACCACCAATCTCTTGCTGGGACATTGGGACCTTGTTCTTGGGGAGAGACGCGTTGTACTCTTCCATCTCGCGACGCTCTCGGTCTTCTGCCTCGCGCTGTCGTCTTCTCTGCTCATCCCTAGCAGCATCGCTTGCCGAGGTGTAGGTCGGTGACGAGGTTTGCATCTGCTGGCGTGGCGGCTCAGGACGTCTCTGGCCACCAGGGCTGTACTGAGAGCTGCTGCTGCCAGGGGGAGGCGGGCGAGGAGGTGCAACTGAAGAGCCGCCGCCGCCCATACCCATCGGCTTGTTCTGCATTGCCCCTGGAGGCATGCCGCCGAACTGGTCATCGTTCTTCTTGGCGAGATCTGTGGTATAAAAGTCCAAGACTTCGAAAACAGCCTGGGGGTTGCGTTCGTAATCTTCCTTTGTGATGGCCGAAGAGTTGAGCAGCTTGGACCATTCCGGCGGCAAGCCAACAAACTCTCCGGTCTGCGGGTCGAAGCCAACGTGGACGGCGTGCGAGAAGTTGGTCGGATTGCTCACGCCGCCCATGCCAGGGCAGGCACCGTAGATGAAGTCGATCCATTCGTACAGGTCATCTTCGGTCTTGACCTTGATATGAAGCGCCTTGTTGTTCTCGCCGTCGTCGTCACCAGGGCTGGAGGACGATCCGTCTGCTCTCCGCTTGATCTCGAAGATGTTGCCTGCGGCCTCGACTCTGCCGACGTTGGTGACGTCCTTGAGAAGGAGGGAGTATGCGACCTTGCCACCTTCAGTCTTGTGAAAGTCTATGGCCTCCTTACGGAGGATCAAGTACTTGTTCTTCCAAGGTTGGAAAAGGTTCTTGTTTTCCTTGATCGAGGCCCATCCCTCCTTTCTCACAGCGACACCGCCCATTCCGTCTGTGTTGTTAGTCTGCTGGCGAGCGATGGGGAGAGAGATGGTAGAGCCAGTGTATGTAGACGTCGCGGTGCTGCGAATTGGGGAGATTGCCATGTTCGCCATGCTGCCCGGAAGATTAGGGTTAGGAGTCAAGGCAAGACGCGGTCTGTCGGGAGGCTGGGGTGCAGGGCCGGGATTCATAA